AATCATTTAATCATACCTGTTGATTGTGTGGTCCTTGCTAGTGAAATAATATAAAGAGTTCTGCAGGAGATGGAGCAGTAAAGAAAGTAGAGTTCATGATTTTGGAGAAAGTGGCCATTGAATGTGTGAAACCAATAAAAGTGATTGACAGTTTGATCCACACACACTTCTGTTTCTCTGACTGTGTGAAGAGTTTGGACTTTCTGAATGCATTTTCATTTGTTAGTTAACATTTCTTGTTGCTAGTTTTCACAACATTATGAATAAATGATAAACTTTTAAAAAAGAGAAAAAATCTGTGTTTTGATGCTTTGAGTCAGTTTTGGAGGTGAATTTTTGCACATTCCTGTCAAATATCCTGTTTATTTGTTGAATTATTTTGTGTACTTCATTTTGTATCTCTTGACTTTCTCTTTCTTTATATTTCTATACTTATGTTTATGTGTCCTGTTAAGCACCAACACACCGAGGCAAAGTGCTCGTATGTGAAAATGTAGCTGGCAATAAACCTGATTGGGATACTGAGATGAACTGTTTGGCCCAGATGCATGTTGGTGATGCAGACTGTAGGAAGAGCTTTGGAAAAGTGGCTTCAGTTTAGACCGCTGAAGAAAAAGTCAGTAATAATTCCAGCTTCTCCAGTGTGACGAGTTGCTGCTTTTCTGTTTTGGATCTCAGTAAAGTGAATAAATAGGAGCTCTGTAGACTATATCACTAAAATTATATAATTCTCATTATTGTTTTATAGCCCAGCCCTACTACATACTACCTGCGAGCGCAGTATGTACTACATATAGCATACTGCGTTTCATAGTAGTACGCAGTATGAAGCTGTTAACAGATTTATTTTGCAGTAGCCGGTTCCCGGTGTTGGAAAGAAGAAAAATACAACAGAAAGAAAATAAATGTAAAAACCAGTAACATTTTCTTCTAATTGAATCTTGTGTAAAACAATCTGCAACAAAGGTAATGTAGCGAGCTGCATCTGTACTACTACCAACAACAAATACAAATATGTAGTCAGAATGTGCATTAGTGCTTCTGTCATTGTTTTTACAAATGTCTGTGCTCACATGCTGATGTCTTCTATGTGGCATCTTATTTGTGCTCGTCTGCTTTTGTCTGTGTTTATGTGACTCCTGTTTTTATGTTTTATCCATGTTCCTGGGTTCTCTGCTTGGGATTATGTGCTTATGTTTGTTTGAATGTTTTCTGGATGACGTGATTGATGTTTTATGTTCTGCCATCAACCTGCCAGGGACTCCAGATTAAATGAATCTGTACGGCTAAATCTGGCTCACTTACATTTTGGACTTAGTCGTTCTGTTCATCAATGTGCACTGTCCCTTAAAAACAAACAAACAAACAATGAATTAAAGAGGTCATATTAAGCTTTTTGGCATTTTCCCCCTTTTAAGTGCTTCTTAAATTTATTTTTCTCCTATTGTTTACTTTCTAGAACCAGAACCCGGCTGTGGCGGAGTTAGCTAAAGAGCTAATGTTCATGAGGAACAGAGAGATAAAACAGTGAGAGTTTGTAAAGGTCAGAGGTGAGGCAGTGAGATTCCTCATGACATCAGGATCTTCAGGGTCCTGAACAGAGACACAGATCTTAATGTTGCTGCTCATTTTAAAGTTGGACAGGCTCTTAAAACCCCTCTGTGGTGGGGGAGGAGCTCAGTGAGAGGTAAACCATGCTTTGGAATGGAAATGGTTTTCATGTGTGTCCTCCAGATGAGCCCGTCCTCGTTCCAGTGGTGAGACCGGAGCTGTCAACTGATCACCATCTGGTGGTGAGTTGGGTCATGGGTAGGGCAAGATTCTGGACAGACGCGGTAAGCCCAAACGGGTAGTGCGGATGAACTGGGAATGTCTGGAGGAGGCCGCTGTCCATGAGATCTTCAACTTAAACCTCTGGCGGAGCTTTTCTGGCACACCTGTGGAGGTTGGGGACATTGAACATGAGTGGGCAATGTTCAAAGCCTCTATTGCTGAAGCCACAGTGGGAAGCTGTGGTCTCAAGGTCTTAGGTGTCTCGAACACCGTGGTGGACACCGGTGGTCAGGGAAGCTTTCCGACTGAAGAAGGAGGCCTTCCGGGATTTGTTGTCTCGGAGGACTCTGGAGGCGGTTGCAAGGCACCCGAAGGGCTGCAGCCTCTGCTGTGGCAGATGCTAAGCAGTGGGTGTGGGAGAAGTTCGGAGAAGACATGGAGAAGGACTTTCGGTCGGCACCAAGATGCTTCTGGAGAACTGTCCGCCATCCCAGGAGGGGGAAGCGGGGAACCGTCCAAGCTGTGTACAGTAAGGATGGGACCCTGTTGACCTCAACTGGGGAGGTAGTTGGGCGGTGGAAGGAACACTTTGAGGGACTCCTAAATCCGACTGACACTGGCAGAGACTGGAGGCTGATGGGGGTTTCTCGTCAATTTCCCTGGAGGAAGTCACTGAGGTAGTCAAACAACTCCACAGTGGCAAAGCCCCAGGGATTGATGAGATCCACCCAGAAATGCTAAAGCTTTGGGTGTGGAGGGGCTGTCTTGGATGACACGTCACTTTAACATTGCGTGGAAGTCCGGTACAGTCCCCAAGGAGTGGCAGACTGGGGTGGTAGTTCCCCTATTCAAAATGGGGGACCAGAGAGTGTGTGCCAATTACAGGGGTATCACACTTCTCAGCCTCCCCGGTAAAGTCTACTCCAAGGTGCTGGAATGGAGGGTTCGGCCGATAGTCGAACCTTAGATCGAAGAGGAACAATGTGGTTTTCATCCAGTAAACCAGTTCTAATTTTAAATACCTGAAGAGAACAGAAAGATATTATCACATTTGAGGAATTTGGGTCAAAAGCTAACAAAGAAAATGGGTTCAAGTTCCAGCAAATAGGGACAAACTCCTCTGATATCACCTCTAATGACGTCTCCTAATATCACTTATATGATTACCAAGTACGGCAAACAGAGCACTGAGCAACTGGACATGTGGTTGAAGGAATGTGGCTTTCCAGGAAGAGGCAGCTTCAGTCTCAGGCAGTTAGAAACTTTAGAGAGGAAGTTAACAGAAGAAGAAAAGAAAAAGAGAAAAGGGAAACCCTTTAGAGCCGACTGGGCAGCGGACACTGATTGGTTAAGATAAAGGCAGGGACAGCTCCTCTTAACAAATCTGCATCTCAGCGTGTCAAACCAAACCTGGACTCCACCAGCCTCACAACCACCGCCGGCGGGACAGCCGAGAGAACAAGAACAGCAACAACATCCTCATTGTGAAGAGAAACTGTGTGACATGGGCGTTACAGCGTCTAGAGATTGTTAAGAGGCACGCCGTTCATGCTGAGGAGTTCTTCAACGACAAAACAGAAAAGAAGAACAGACAAAGGGAACAGCTGGCAGACCGGCTGATGGTGGCTCAGCTGAAGGGGGACGAGAACCAGAACAGAGGACGAGGACGAGGCGGAAATGACAGCTTTTTTTGGTGTGGCAGACTGGGACACTGGGCCAGAGACTGTCCAGAAAGCGAACAAAAGGCATATTGACGGGGGCAAGGCCAGAGAGGGGACGGTCTGGTTCAGATACAGGAGCTGAGATGACAGAGCAACCAACACACCAATAACGTGGTAATAACGTGGTCTCTTATCAGGAAGCTGATAAGAGACAACAGAGCTAAAGAACAACAATCATTCCTGTAAACACATGAAGATAGATAGAACAGACAGAAATTCTCCTTCAAATTTGGGGGGGTGGTGATGGCGCATGGATAAGATGCTTGCCGTGTGAGAGACCTTGGTTTGATTCCCACTGCGAAACATCCACCATTGTGTCCCTGAGCAAGACACTTAGCTCCTAGTTGCTCCAGAGGCGTGCGACCTATGACATGTATAGCAATTGTAAGTCGCTTTGGATAAAAGCGTCAGCTAAATGTAAATGTCAACAAGGCTCATTTAAAACATACATTAAAGCACATTTAAAAACAGCAGCTGTACCATGTCTATTATTTGTTGTTCAGAGTGGTTATTGCAGACGGTATGAAAGATTTCTTGTAAATGTTTTTCCTGGCCAGTGGAACTTTATATTGCCTGCCTAATGACAGTAACTGGAAAGAGTTATGGAGAGTGATGGAGTGATGGAGAGGGTGAGAGGGATCCCCTGTGATCAGGGTAGCCTTCCTGATCACAGAGTGGTTGTACAGTTCAGATAAGGGGGTTCGTGGTGAGCCGATTATCTCGCTGCAGTGGTTTATTACGCGAGACAGTTTGGTTTTATGTTTGGCAGCGAGGAGGTTGTACCAGGATGAGATGTTGAAGGTGAGAATGGATTCAATGAGTAACAAGTAAACCAGAGTGAAAATCTCCTTGCTAACAAGTCCTTAGTTTCCTCAGCAGGTGGAGGCGCTGTTGTGCTTTTTTTAACACAGAGTCAGCGTGTTGTGTGAAGGACAGGCAGGTGTCGATCTCTGTTCTCAGGTACTTGAAGGATACAACCTGCTCCAGCAGCTGACCCTGGATACTGAGAGGTTGAAAGAGATGGGAAGAGGTCTTCACTCTGCTCCCACAGTTTTTGTTATATTGAGCTCCAGGGAATGATCAGTAAATGTTTGGATAAGGTTGTTGACTATTGGGATAGGGCATCAGTGCCAGTCAGGTGATCCACCAGGGCCGTGTTATCTGCGTACTTAAAAACAGTTATTCCTTCACTGCTACAGGAAATGCTGTTAGTATAAGCAGAGAAGAGACTGGGAGATAAGACACAGCCCTGGGGAGTCCAGTGTTTAAAACCAGCTTGCTGGAGTTAAAACCATTTAAAAACACCTGTTGTGGTCTGTCTTGTAAAAAACTCTTTATCCATAAAATCAGTGTCGGGTGGACCTGGAGGTCAAAGAGGCAGTGCAGTAGGTTGTTTGTGTTTACAGTATTAAAAGCATAAGAAAAGTCCATGAATAAAATTCTGGTGTGTTGTTTAGTGACAGTGTCTAAAAGTGTGAGACATACATCCTCTACACCATGTTTTACCTTATAGGCAAACTGAAGCAGATCTAGTTTTCCTCACAGCGTGTTAGACAGATGGTTGCATATGTAACGGGTTTGGTCGGGTGTGTGAAGGATGACTCTTGAGATCACTTCTTTTCCACAATTTATTGGCTCGCACATCTGCAGAACACAATGCACACATCAATTGCCAATTGTAACTACAAACGACTGAGTGCCCTCAAATTGGGACCCAGTCTGTTCCCCAAGAAACCTGAGTGCCAAAGTAAGTTCCACAGTACAACAGGCAACTTTCAATATGGACATCATACATGTTTATCGGACATTTTGCTCCATTCTGAAGTGTCACATGAATGATTGTTGAAACACCGTTATGTCTGGTTACTGTATTGTTACACAAAAAGTTCACTATGCACCCTGTGATTGTTTTGATATATGATGTGTGCCTTTCAACACATTAGGTGTTGTTATAATTGTTAGCTTGCTAAAGTATATAACGAAAGAACAGCTCACTGCATAAAATTATTTGTTTCATGAGTGTAATCGATTTACAAGGTACATCTCACTATAATATAGCACGTATAGGTAGTTTAACAGTTTAATAAGCTCATTTAAAGGATAATGAGGAGGAGAGAGGAGTAATGGAAATCCTTGTCATTATAACTTGCTCAAATGTGTTAGCAACAGAAACAGCCCACCGCATGATTGATTATTTCACAACGTGTAAACAATAATTTGGGTATTTTCTTGAAGGTCTGCAAGTCTGAGAAATAGGTTTCAGATGCCAAATACAATAGGTCGCCCACTTTCAGTGGTCACAGTGTTGGTGTGTAAAGTGTGAGGCTTTACAGCCTCAGAGGAGGGAGTGTTGTGAATTATTTTAGAGCATTATAGCCTAAATTGTTATCATTAATTAGTAGAGCAATGGTGGTCTCCATTGTCATCATTTAAAGTGTTATTTTAAAGTGTAAAGTTAGGATCACAGTGTTAAAACTCTATAGTTCTGGGTGTGTGTGCTCCTTTCTGTATCTAACTGCCCAGGCTCAACAGTTGCACGTGTGTATGAGTGAGCAAGCACAGTGGGATAGCAATACAGCATCAAAAACACTTGCAAAGGAAAATGTAGAAGGCAAGGCAGGTTTATTTGTATAGCACATTTCAACAACAAGGTCATTCAAAGTGCTTTACATAAAACATAAAAGCAACAGGGAAATATAAAAAAAGCTTAAAAGCAACATAGGGAAATTGAAATAATACACATTAAAAAATAATAAAAGTTACAGTGCAGTGTACAATCAGGGTTAAAAGAGTTAAATGGAAAATAAAAAAAGTCTGAGGGGTTGAGCAAATAATTGAGTTAAAATTATTTAGAAAAGAGAATAAACAGAGAAGTACACTTAATCTACAGGTGCTGGTCATATAATTAGAATATCATCAAAAAGTACCTTTTGAATGGAATTACTAAAATAAATCAACTTTTTGATGATATTCTAATTATATGACCTGCATCTGTACTCTCTCTAGCTAGTCTGAAGCAGATTTTGTGAAAATTGTATTACAAAACATACATCAATATAGTCCATCACAGTAAGAATGTCCTTTTTCTAGCACAGAGCACAAACAACACCAGTTTATTCCACAAGAGTCAGGTTATGGATGAAAAAGTATGATCAAGCGGAGGGCATGCAAAGGACACAGAGAGGAGGAGCAGCACAGTCAGGGACTTTCTCACCAAATGCTGATGCACGTGAAAATCTTGGACTTTCCCAGATCCAGGTGCAGTAGGAAAGAGAGCCAAGAGATGATGTGATTCCAAGAAACAGAACTATAAAAGGAGGTGAAAGTCAGTCGTTACATGGTGTAACCGCTAAGCTTAAAACAGCCTAGGGTTATGCAGAGGGTTAAAGTGGGCTATAGTTGACGCGCTTACCGTGGTCGCTTTGGCTTGATTGAGCAATGATACAACAAAGCTTAAAGTTATCTTTTCTTCTCTGTTGTGTGAGATGTTTATTGGATTTACACAAGGATTTCCTTTTCCATAACAGAACAATATTCCATCTTCACCAACAGTCACTTAACATGCATTCAACCACAGCCTCCTTCGCGTGGCGTGGCGGTCAAAAACTAGTTTGCCCTTTTCCCTCTAGCAACACCTGTCCTTGATTACAGCTAGCCTAAGTAGATAAGCCCCAATCACTATGCCATAACCCTAGTGCCACCTAATGGCCAAACCTGGACATAAACATTGAAATGGCTCCTACAACACCGGCCCCCAATTGGAATGGTTAACAAACATTACAATTCAAAACAAACCAAATTAAGGATCCAGTACCAACCTAACGTAACATATTATCCAACATTTGTTACAATGAGTTCACACACATTAACACTGAAAATTGCCCATTTAACCTGCAGCCTCAATCAAAAGGCAGAGCTTTGTAACAGGACGTTGAATGACACTTGACTTTGTTTGCAGACTCACTGAACGCACAAATCCCTTTTGATCCCGGAAAGCTTCCAACACTCTTCCTAGTGGCCAAGAGCCTCGTGGGGCAGTAGGATCCATTATAACGACAATATCTCCAGGCTTTAGGTTTCTCCTGGTTTCATTCCATTTTTGCCTCTCTTGCAGCAAAGGTAGATATTCCCGTACCCAACGTTTCCAAAAAAGTTCAGCAATATACTGGACTTGCTTCCATCTCCGTTTTAAATACAAGTCATGTGGTTCAAACAATCCTGGCGGCAATGATGGATTTCCTTTCATCAGAAGAATGTGGTTGGGAGTAAGTGGCTCCAAATCATTTGGATCATCTGAGAGTTTGGTGATAGGCCGATCGTTCAGGATGGCTTCAGCTTCACACATAACTGTATGAAGCCCATCATCGTTCAGGGTCTGCTGTTGAAGAACTGAACTTAGAATCCTTCTCACCATGCGGATAACACGCTCCCAAACCCCACCATGATGTGAACCTGCAGGAGGATTAAAGCTCCACTTAACTCCCCTTTGCCGCAGTACTCCCTGAATTTTTCCATGATCTAAAGCTGCGAGAGCCTCTCTTAGTTCTCGCTCTGCTCCTATGAAGTTGGTTCCATTATCAGATATGATATGAGAAACTTGACCTCTTCTACAGATGAAACGTCGCACAGCATTGATGCATGCGTCAGTGTTCAAAGAGACAGCCACTTCGAGATGGATTGCTCTGCTTGCCAAGCAGGTTAGTATCACACCATAGCGCTTGTCTGTACCACGTCCTTTCCTCACTGTAATTGGGCCAAAATAATCAATGCCAACGTTGGTAAATGGTGGTTTGTCAGGAAGAATCCTTTCCTCTGGCAAATCAGCCATCTTTTGCTCCTGCATCTTTCCATTATATTTCTTGCAACAGAAACATTCTGCAATTACCTTTCTTACAGCGGAGTTGGCTCTAGTGACCCAATACTTCTTCTGCAGTGTTGATAGCGTGTGATTCCGCCCACTATGGCCCTGCTGCTGATGAATGTGCCTGAGGATGAGAGTGGCCACATTTTGATCCTTGGAGAGGATTAGCGGATGTTTAATCGACTCTGGCAAGGAACTTTTAGTCAGCCGCCCTCCAACTCTGAGAAGCCGATCATCCAAGCGCAGATCCAACCTGTGGATTGTACTACGTCTGCTCACTGTAGATTTCCCAGCTGACAACATGGCAATTTCCTCTCCAAATCGCTGTTGCTGACAGTATCGAATTATAGCTAGCTCGGCTCCCAAAAGGTCATCTATGGACAAAATTTGCCCTCCAGGCTTGTCCTTTAACCCTTGCCTCCTCCGTGGCATATTATTGTCAGTGCTCTGCTTACCATCAGCTTTCTCCTCCCTCCTCCTGCGACATTTTTCCAACAGAATGGCTTTCCATTTAAGTAACCAGGCTACTGCCACCTTGAGCTTACTCCAATTTGAGAAGTAAGTCAGTAACCGGTTTGTGGCATCATGTGAGCCATCCACAGACACAACATTCACTGTGACTTCCTTCTTGACCTCCTGATCATCGGGTTCTATGATAGTTTCTACAACATTTGTTGTCCAGTTAGCTTCTGGTTCACTCAAAAAACTTGGACCCTCTATCCACCTCCGGCCATGAATAAAGTCTCCAACCCTCACTCCTCTGGATGCCTCATCCGCTGGATTTTCCTTGGAGCTGATGTATCGCCATTGTGAAGTTTTAGTGGCTCCTCTTATAGTCGAAACCCTGTTGGCCACAAACGTATGAAAACGTTTATCCTCGTTTTTTATATACTTCAACACAGAAGTGCTGTCGGTCCAAAAAATGGACTGCTGCAACTGCAATCTCAGCTCAGCCTTCAACATCAGATCAACACGAATGGCAAGCACAGCAGCAGTCAGCTCCAGTCGAGGAATAGTAACAGTCTTTAAAGGTGTAACCCTGGCTTTGCCCATCAGGAATGCAACATGAATGTCATTTCCATCATTCAACATCCTGAGATATGTGACTGCACCATATCCTGTTTCACTAGCATCTGCAAAGTGATGCAGCTGAGCATGTCTTGATTGTCCAAAGCCCTGGGGCTTAATGCACCGATCAACCTTAAATTCAGACAGCATATCCAATTCCTCCAACCACCTGAACCACCGTTGCAAGATGTCTTGTGGTACAGTCTCATCCCATCCATAATTTCTTCTGCAAAGTTCTTGTAGCATGATTTTGGCAGGCAACACCACAGGTGCGACAAAGCCAAGAGGATCGTACACCGAACTAGCCACTGACAACATTCCTCTCCTGGTGACTGGCCTCTGCTGGATCTCCATTTTGAACTTGAATGAATCACTCTCAATGCACCATTGCAAGCCAAGAGCTCTCTCAAGAGGAAGTTGGTCTCTATCCAGATTCAGTTCAGTCAGATCTTTAGCTCTGTATTCCTCTGGAATAGTCTGCAGTGTGGTGCGACTGTTACTAATCCATTTCATCAGAGTAAATCCTCCTGCCTGACAGAGAGTAATTAAATTTTTGACCATAAAGGCAGCTTCTTCTTCAGAGGGCATGCTCTTCAGACAATCATCCACATAAAAGTTCTCCTTTACTGTTTGCAGAACTTCAGCTGGAAATTCAGATTGATTATCAGCTGCTGTTTTTCTCAGAGCAAAGCTAGCACAACTCGGGGAGGACACAGCACCGAACAGATGGACAGTCATACGAAACTCAGCTACTTCCTTGCTGAGATCTCCCTCAGGCCACCATACAAAGCGCAGGAAGTCTCTATCCTCCTTTGCAACTCTGACCTGATGGAACATTGCCTGTATGTCGCCCATAACTGCTACAGGTTCCAGCCTAAACCTGAGCAGGACACCAAGCAATGTACTGGTCAAATTGGGACCTTGCAAGAGCTGCTGATTCAAAGATGTTCCCTTAAAGGTCGCACCACAGTCAAACACCACCCGCAGACTCCTCTTCTTGGGGTGATATACACCATGGTGCGGAAGATACCACACCCTACCACTACTGTGATCCAACTGCTGTTCTGAAACTTGCTCTGCGTAGCCCAGACTGATCACCCTGTTGAGGTTCATTTTGTATTCCTCATAAAACTGTTTGTTATTAAGGAACCTCCTTTTCAGCCCGAGCAACCTTTGCTTTACTACAGAGAAGTTGTTGGGCAGAGATACATTGTTCTTTTTAAAGGGCAGCTTCAAACTGTAATGACCATCGTCCAGTGTTGCAGAATTTTCCATAATTTCCATGAACTTGATGTCTTCTACTGAAGGGCCTTTGTCCTCTGTAGCTCTTTCGTTAAAATCATGATTGTACTGGCTATGTAGCATTTCTTCCAATCGTCTCACGGAAATCCTGTTAACGACTACTGAAGGAGCCTCTGTCTCCAAACTGCTGTCATTAGACTGCAAAGGGCCATTAAGGACCCACCCCAATACCGTCTTGATTGTGTATGGTCCTCCCCCTGGCTATTTATGACCTCCCAAGGTTCCAATATCCTCGGAGCATTGCTTCCAATTAATAGGTCAACCTTAGCCTCTAAGCTGGGAATCTGTACTTTTGCCAAATATGACCATTTTGCCAACTCTCCTTCAGAGACAATACTGTCTGCACTTACAGGCATTTTCTTCTGCGTGAGGACTTCTGGTAGCTTATAGAAGACATTACTATCCATACTAGACACCTCCAAGTCAAACAATAAATTTGCCGGCATGACCCTTTCCTGTCCCATGGTTTGTAACAGAAAATGTGTTTGTTTACCAGACAACCCAAGCCTTTGCATGAGATGTTCCGAACAGAAAGTGGCTGAACTGCCGGGGTCCAGAAATGCATAGGTTTGTATTACTCTGCCTCCTTGGATGGATTTGACTTGGACTGGCAAGATGGAAAGGAGGCAGCGATCACTTCCGACCCCTACACGACCACAGGCTTCTTTAGATGCTTTGGTGTTAGGTCTCACAAGATCCTTAGATCGCTCTGTGTATGCATTGGCTTTGTCTCTCCTGTCAACATGAAGCACACTAGGATGTGCTTGACCGCAAATCCCACAGGTCGCACGCTTTCCACAATTGCGACTCATGTGCCCAGCACATAAACAGCCAAAGCAAAGCTCTTTCTCCTTTAGAAAGATTATTTTATCCTGGTGCTTCTTCCTTTTGAACTGTAGACATTCCTCCAAAGAGTGACTTTGCGAACAACACACACAAATTGATCTAATAGTAGAACCATTTTCTGGCAAGACAGCCTTTCTCTCTCCTAAGTCTCTTGCTGAATGTACAGGGGCAATGGTGGTGGCAAAACTATTTCCTTTAAATCTTGAGCCTGGCTGCGATTTCAGCCTGTCGACCTTAGCACCACCTGTTCCTGGTGCTGAGTCCCGAATATCACCAAACAAAGGGTCTGACAGAATACGGACATGTTTCTCAATGAATTCCACCAAATCTTTGAACAGAGCTCTACGGTCAGATGTATGCATTATGTTATGTGCCACTGACCTCCATTGCTCCCTCAGCTTGAACGGGAGCTTAGACATGACTATTCTCATGTTGCTTGTCATGTCTAACTCCTGCATATATTGTATGTTCTCCATGACATTACAGCATGAGCGCAGAAAAAGTGAGTAGGCCTGCAGTGCATTGACATCTTCTGCCCTTATAGGCGGCCACGCAAAAACCTTTTCCATATATGCAGAGGCGACCTTATACTCGTTGCCAAAGTGTTGTTTAAGCAGCTCCTTTGCTTTAACATAACCTAGATCAGCTGCCATGTGCTGACAGCTTCGTACCAGCTCCCGTGGCTGTCCTCTCGTGAATTGTTCCAGGTAATATAAACAATCACTTTGACTGACCTTATCCTCCACTACCTGCTCAAATGCTCGCATAAATGAAATATATTGAAGAGGATTGCCATCAAATAAGGGAATCTCTCTTGCCGGCAATAACATGAAGCGTTGCTGTTGGGCCAATGCAGTAGTTATTTCGGTTTGCCTTTCCATTATGGAACAGATGTTCCCCCGCTGCTGTTCCTCTACTGGCTGAGCATTGAATGAGTGGGGTCCTAAAGGTTGTGGTGGTAAAATATGATGATCGTCCATTTGAGAACCGGTCCTTTGGTTTAGCCCAGCCTGGCTTTGTTGACTAGCCTGCTGAGTTAGCCTAGCTGTAGGTTGTGAATTGCCAATTGGCAATGCCCAATCCTGGCCCTGCTGTGCTTGGTGGTGGTTTACAGGCCTGTATTCCTTTGCCATAGGATTGAGCTCAGTAACACTTGCTGTTCTTTTGCTTTTACTCATGTAAGAACTCATTCCATTAGATGTGGTGCTGATGTCAGGGGCAGAGGCCAGCACTTCCAATTTGGCATTGGAGGCAGCTAGCATAGCTTCCAGCTCAAGTTGCTCTCTTCTCCTTTTTAGTTGTTGCTCCTGTTCCTCCAATGCATGCCGTTCCTTTAAAGATGCAGCCTGAGCAAGCAGTGCAGCTCTTTCTGCCTCTTCCTTTATTCTTGCAGAGTTAGTAGATTTTCCACTACGAGAACTCCTCCTGCTTACTTGCTTGCTAGGAACATTTGAGACACTTTCCTCTGGCCTGATATCATCATTATCCTGCTCATCCCTTTTACCCTTTTGAGAACCTTTTTCATCCCCACATTCATCACCTTTGTTACCTTTTTTTAATTGAATAGCATTTAACCAGTGGTTTACCTCAGACAGAATTTCATCATTGCAGATCATTTTTGCTTTAAACCAAATATCATGTTTTTCCCTTTCACCCTCAGGTAATATCACCAGCAAGGAATCATGAACACATTTTAAATCATCGCACAATTCAACAAGAGCACCCATTGTACATTGTACACCTTCTTTATCACCTATTTGCATAAGCTCTTTGATTTTTTCCCTTAGCTTAGAAGCCTTATTTAATTTAGCCTTCCTATCATTTTGCAGTCTTTCCAGCTTTTGTTCAAATGCTTTTGCAGTTAATGTTACAACACGTTTTTCTTTCTCTTTTAACACACCCGAACCATCTGCTTTACTGTTACATTCAGCTGACTGCGCAACAGCCTCAGCAGCTGACGCGTCTTTTTCAAGTAAACTCATAGCGCACTTGAACGTCACAACAATAACAATCAATAGTCAATGTAATTTGTTTTCAACTACAAAGTTACTGTTCAGTTCTTTCTTCACCAATGCATTGGAATTTTTACGCCCGGGTAAGTATGTTAGTGTGCACACAACTTATGAATGGCCATTCAATTACTTACAACATACCTCACGTGGGGCGCCTTGTAGATGAAGAACCGTCTCACGATGTCCTCACATTGGTGAATGATGAAAGAAGTTTATAGTTGTCCTCAAACAGTTGAGTAGATTGGTTCCGGGCTGGCTGAGCACCGCCGCGTCATATCACCGATGCTGGGCTAAGCGGGTAATGTCCCCGCTGACTCCGTTTCAGCCTGTCCTCTCGCCGGGTTCCGATGTGTAACACAGCCGGGCAGATACACGATGACTCGATGAGTAGCTTTCAGATGTCCCCTTTCCAGTGGCCACTCCGCATGTCTTTAACGGTGAACATCTAACTCCACACGCGACGATCTTCCCGCTTCATAAAAGGTAGTTTTTGACTTTGTGTAACCGCTAAGCTTAAAACAGCCGAGGGTTATGCAGAGGGTTAAAGTGGGCTATAGTTGACGCGCTTACCGTGGTCGCTTTGGCTTGATTGAGCAATGATACAAGAAAGCTTAAAGTTATCTTTTCTTCTCTATTGTGTGAGATGTTTATTGGATTTACACAAGGATTTCCTTTTCCATAACAGAACAATATTCCATCTTCACCAACAGTCACTTAACATGCATTCAACCACAGCCTCCTTCGCGTGGCGTGGCGGTCAAAAACTAGTTTGCCCTTTTCCCTCTAGCAACACCTGTCCTTGATTACAGCTAGCCTAAGTAGATAAGCCCCAATCACTATGCCATAACCCTAGTGCCACCTAATGGCCAAACCTGGACATAAACATTGAAATGGCTCCTACACATGGTTTTCATGTCAACTCGGGTCTCTGTTCTGGTAACAGAATGGGGCTCTATTTTGCATTTTAGTTTTGGTATTTTAATTAAAATTTACACTTACTGTGCATGTTTACTTTGCGACAACTCCCAGTCTGTTTTCCGCCACCACCGCTGCTTTTAACTCCCGTGTTGCATTCAGGCCCATGCAAAATAAAATCCTGTTGCGGTTCTTCGTCTGTAGTACTTTATTCTTTCGCCAAATCGCCATCTGCTTCAAGTTTACACTGGCACGTGGATGCCCAGTATACATGAACGGCCACTAGATGTGCATTTTCAGTCGATTTAATGTAGACGGTGTGGTGGGAAAAAGCAAACACTTGTCTTTCGGTGAATTTTATTCAAGTCTTCTGCAGAAGGAATTCAAGGGGACACATACACATCCGAGAGTATCATCCGAGTGAGCTGCAGCGTAACAGGTCATGCAGCTTTTATCTTAGTCTCAGGGTCGGAGTCCTATCTCATCAAAGAAACATGGTGTCTTTCAGTGTTCCCTAGGGGACACTCAATCTGGATCTATAGAAAGACACCCATGTCCAAGGTACATCTGGTGGTTATCTGAGACGTGTTCCAGAACCTAACCCTAAAGTTGACCATGCTGATGTTACACAATTAAGCGTCTTGGTCATATCCTTAACTTCTCGGCCCACCCTGGGAAACCCTTGAGTGAAGGTTAACAGGGCTCCTAGTGTCTCTGAAACATTTATTGGTCTGGGTTTCACTGGTATGGAGTTCCCCACTCCATGAGGGAGCTGTGCACACGCATAACAGCTCTGATTGGTTACTTTTCTTGAAGTGGTCATCGTGGTTGCATACCATGCATTGTCTTTCAGCCCAGCCGGGCTGACAGGGAGGACGTGCATCTCCTCCTCTTCGGGCCTGGAACTTTCCCTCAGTCAGGCCAAGTTTGTTGTTTTCATGTTTGGAAATGATGACAGTGAGCAGAACAACGCCTCCGTTTTGTCTCGGTCCGTCACCTCTCCAGAGCCATCTGTTGGTTTCAGTGTGCCCGCGGTGAGTGTTTGGGAGATTAGTGGTTCTAGGTGGTCTCAGAGACCTCCACTCCCCTCCCTCCCTAGGAACACAAGGCAGGGGAAAGCTCAGCTCAATCACTGATCTCCATCTTCGCCTGGTTTGAGGCCTTTTGGTTGCTTTGGCACTCGTTTGCAGTGGGTGGCGTGAATCCAAGTTGCTCTTTCAGCCACTTTTACTGCTGTTTCTGTTGTTAGCAGTATCTGAAATGGCCGGTCCACCTGCGAGCCCTTTCTCCTGAAGTCCTTTCCCACAATCCAGTCCCCTGGCTCCAGATCGTGCAGTTTCTTCTCTGCGGCCTTCGGGATGGTGTTTTTGACCTGCATATGAATTTCAGAAAGCACAGAGGACAAATTAGCACAATATCTCAACATTTCATCCTCACATTGGCTGGTATCAGGGAGTTGTCTTTTTACTGGCCCAATCCCCGTGTTCAATGGTCTGCCAAATAGGACTTCAAAAGGACTGAGACCCCCTCTGCCCCTCATCCGGCTTCTCATGTACATTAAAATGATCGGCAAAGCTTTTGTCCATGTTAAACCTGTTTCTTCACAGCATTTAACAAGCTTGTTTTTCAATGTGCCATTTTCTTATTCAACTGCACCTCCGCTAGCTGGATGATGAGCACAATGTTGCCTCAGATCAATCCCCATATCCTCCCCTACACTCTTCAGTGCTGCGCTAATGAAAGGTGTGCCATTATCACTGGAGATCTTAGCTGGGATCGCTCAGCGATGATCTGGCTTATCAAAGCTTTTGCAACTGCTGCTGCATCCTGTTTAGATGTTGAAAATGCCTCTACCCCTTTAGAGAACATATCTACCATGACAACACAATATTTCTTCCCCTGTGACAGTGTCAGTTCAATGAAGTCCATTTGCAGGTGCTCAAATGGTTTGTCTGGGGGTGGGTGTGCCACCTGTGGGATCTGAATCGGCCGCCCCACATTGTTAGTTGCACAAATGATGCAAAATAGTCTCATGCAAAGTTGTTACTGCAAAAACGATTTTTACCAGGAGCTGGATCACGTGATGCTGAGCCGTCCACAAACAACTCCATGTCTGGGTTTGTTAGAGGAGTCTCCTGCAAGTCTGCCCTTAGAGAGCAGGTTTCTGCTATGACTGCAACACAATCATGCGGCTGTCCTTCACCTGGAGTTGGGAGGAGAGTAGCAGGATTCAGTACAGTGCAGAATGTTAGATATATCAAGCAACACGGTCTTGTATCTCAGCCACCTGGATGTGGAGAGATGAGATGTTTTTTGTTCAAGCAAAATCATCGACAGCATGTGGAACCAACAATGTCAAGTCTGAATAACCCACAATGTCACGTGATGCCATGGCTGCTTTTTCAGCAGCCGCCACAGCTCTCAGGCAGTTTGGCTGCAACAGAGTCCAGTTTGGATGAAAAATAAGCTACAGGTCTCAGTCGTCCCCCATGGTCTTGTAGTGGTACTGAGGTCATGTACCCCCCCTTTTCGTCAACAGTCTGGGTGAAATGTGTGTTACAGTCGGGGAGACCCAGGGTCGGTGGAGACTGAAGAGCCCGCTTTAAATCAACAAAAAAAACAAACACTGAATGACCATAAAAGAAAGAAACACCACAAACTCAAAAGCTTAGTACAAAACAAAATATTGGTGCATTTCAAGATTTCACACAAAAATACAATCACAAAGTAAAACACAAACCAACTGAAAATTCCATTTCGGGTTTTCTGCACACTTAAACCAAACAATCTCAAAAACACAAATGAGTTGCAGTTCATTTCAAAATCACAAAATTAAATTCAGTCCAGTGCCAAAGCAAAAAAAAAGATAAATAAAACTGGTTCAGTTTCTCTGGCACAAACAAAACAAAAAGGAGGAGGTTTAATTGTCGCGCCATCCGGCAACGAATCAGTGTGGCTCATTTATAAAATGGGCGTTTCCGGGGTTTTCCACGGTGGTGAAACCTGCTGAATTCTAGGTTGTCACAAGATCTATATAATGTCTAAATTCTTACGTGTTTCTATTAAATGTTAACAAAGCTAGTAGTCTGAGGAAATCCTATCCCGTTTACAAAAAGCCTTTGTTCAACATTCACACACTGAAGTACTGCAGGTTATACACGCTGAAGTACTGCAGGTTATACACGCTGAAGTACTGCAGGTTATACACGCTGAAGTACTGCAGGTTATACACGCTGAAGTACTGCAGGTTATACACGCTGAAGTACTGCAGGTTATACTCCACATGGTATACACAGAAGAATATTAAACACAGTACATCATATCCTGTCCTGGTGAGTCCAGGTCCCTGTAGTATGGGAGTCTGATGTGACTCTGGGTCCTGGTCTTACCTGACTTTGACGTAGTCGGACAGCAGCCAGCGGTAGATGGCCTTGGTGGCGTGAGTCATGAAGGTGCGTCCTTTAAAGCTGGTCTTCTGCAGGAACCAGGGCAGAGCTCCACAGTGATCCAGGTGGAAGCTGAGAGGGAGGGCAACAGTTACTGAGGAGTTTCCAGGTCCACATCAGCCCTGACCTTTATGTTGGTCTGATTTCTCAGCATCATGTCAGGCAAAGCAGTTTGATTAGAAAGCACATTTCATACACAGGTCGAGTCTGTACAGAGAAGGGAAAACAACACACTTGGACATTAAAGTCCACCTGCTAGTACAGCTGAGTGTGTGTATATTAAAGTGTTCTCTGGTTGCTGTGCTGATAAATGTTGGGAACTCACTGGCTGATGAGCAGCAGGTCAATTTCAGCCGGGTCGATCAGGTCGATGTACGGCAGAGCGTCCATCCCGTCCAGACCAGGATGGATCCCGCAGTCCAGCTGAACCACAACACACACACACGTTTTTACACACTGAGGTGACTGAAAGCTGAATACCGTGCAGCTGATGGGATTAAAAACAGACCATAATCTTTGGTCCCTTGAACTCCAGGATGATGCAGGACCGTCCCACCTCCTGTCCTGCTCCTCTGGACACAAACACACAGAAACAGCATCACTTTCATGTCTAACTGACATCCAGATGTTTCAGGTTTCAGCCTTAAAGACAAAACTCTTCCCCCAAGAACCGTTAACAAACTAAACTCAGCTATCAAACCCAGCAGAACCAATAATAACAGAAGGACCAGCTGATGCATATCTGCCCCCAGAGGAACATCAAGCAGAACTCCATTCAAAAATTAAGCACTTTTAAAACACTTTGTCAGCAAAGGCCAAAACAAGCCAAATACCAGTTATTTAATTTAATTAATCAGTTAAATTATTAACTCAGAATTTCTAGAATCCACCAATAAGCATCTGATTTTAATGAATGTTGTTGAAGTTAACGTCAAGTCTCGCGGTTAGATTTCCACGTTGAAAACCTTCTTAAATAAATAATGTTTGGTACATTTGGTCTGCGCCGAAATGAAGCCTTGCCTCTAATGAATAGTTAAGTTTAAATAGCAAGTTTAAAAAAGCTTTGGCCTTTGTTGATAAAAGGAAGATCTACTAAATTGGTGTTTTTCTGAATGGAGTTTGGTGAGAGAGCAGCAGCCACGGAGGCTAAACCAGGTAAACGTTGTGTTTGAACTCACAGCGGGCGGATGAGCAGTTGGTCACTTTCCTCCGCAGGAACCGTGGCGTCACATTTACGTTTAGACGCCATGTTTACCTGAATAAACTCACAAATCTTCCACAAATACTAAATTAACTCAGAACTTCAGCTATTCCGCGCGTTGCCACAACTTTAACTCACTTCCGGCTCCTGCTGAAATACCTCCGTGTGGTACAACTGCTGGTAACTTTGGTTCCACCTTTGGGAGTGTGTTTTTCTTCTTCTTTATGGCAGATTGCAGCCATGACTTTTAAAGGTGCATACGCCACCTACTGTACCGGAGTATGTTGCATGAACTATGTTTGTTGACACAACTTCATTTCATAAAATAATAAAAAACCTAAATCTTATTATATATATCTCTAAATTTTTTAAGATAATAATAATAAACCTTCAAGGCTTCACTTCCTTCCTGCCTGACTTATCTTTTGATTTAGCCTTTGTGAGGATCAAACTCAGCAGGAAAAGAAATGTACTTGAGTAACAGAATAAATCAAGAGTATTTGTTGAGTTTTTGTCTTCAAACCTTTATTGAAATAAATGAGAAGCTCTGCAGCCATCAGCAGCTACTAGATGCTGCTCCAAGAAAACTTTATTAAAGTGAAAATCAGAGTCAACACAGTTTGTACACAACAAGTTCAGCCCTGAGATCATTTCACCATTTCTAAGAAAACACATTTCTGACATTAAAGGCACAATCAGTGAGCCAGATGTTAACCAAAGTGAAGCCTCGTCCACCACCAACATTTAAACCACAGGACTGGAAGTTGTCTCCCTCCTACACAGAACACAGAGACACTGAGGAACCATAGAACCAGACTGTAAACCCAGGATAAAGAGGTTCAGTGAATGTGGTGTTGAAGGTGTGGAGGTGGATCAGTGTGTCAGAGGAGACTCTGTAGAAGGACAGACAGCCAGCAGGACAGTCCACATACACTGCTGCTCTGTTAGAGGAGGAGGAGGAGGAGGAGGAGGAGGAGGAGGAGGAGGAGGAGGAGGAGGAGAGGAGAGAGGGAGGACTGTTTTACTGTTATTGTGCCAGACAGTGTAACGACCATCAGAGCAGCTCAGACTCCAGGACTGATCATTCAATCCAAACACACAGTCTTTACTGTCTCCTCTCCTGCTGATTCCTCTGTAACTCACTGATATATAAACTCCTCCTCTCCACTCGACCTCCCAGTAACAGCGACCAGTCAGACCATTTCTACACAGCAGCTGAGGCCAGAAGTCAAATCTCTCTGGATGATCAGGATATGGCTGCTTCTCTCTCACCCATGTCACCTTCCTGTTGTTGTCAGACAGTTTGAGGTATGTGTTTGCTGTGTTTGTGTCCAGTGTGAGTTCACAGAGATCTGATGGAGAGAACGAGACACAACACAGCAGCAGTTTATCATCAGACATATCTGAAGGTTTATTCTTTGTTTGTGTGCTGATGTTGTTCATTTCTAAAAAGTTTAATGATGATGCATTTAGTCAGTAATGTTTGAATGAATAAATATCACAACTATCAACTTTGTATTAAGAGAAACTGACTGTGTGCTGTTTTGTCATCATGAGTCAGATTGAATCCACACTTACACTTCCTCAGACCAGGTTTTAACCTCTGCTCTCCACCATGGTCCACCCTGGAGGAAGAAACACAGTCAGAGTGATTTTCTATCCAACATGAGTCCTAACTGCTGTTCAACATGAAGCAGTGTTCCTCAGTTTGTCAGTGTGACAGAGAAACAGGCTGAAACTCATCTGTGTCAACTGTCTCCAGGATTCTTTCACTGTCTGAGAAAAGGACCTGAAGAAGAAGACAACTAATATGAGAGCAGGATGTCAAATATTGTCCTCTGCATGTTGTCCCGCTAAATAAACAGTTTGACCAGCATTCACACATGAACAACTAAACTGTTTCCAGACTGTTCTCAGATCAGATTCAACTTGTATTGAGTAATTTCTGTCAGAAACAGAGGGTCTGAGGACAGAGAGGCCACATGATGTACAGACTGTAAAGCTTTGAGACAAGTTTGTGATTTTGCACTTAATAAAACTGACTTGGGAATTTCATATCAATAAAGGACTGTATTTCACAGAGACAGATGAGGCTAAATGATGAAGTTAACAGAGAATAAAGGTGTTTCTCTCAGCAGCAAATAATTATATGCATCTAAATGTGCGCATTTGTTTTGCTTTAAATATTTAACAATTGTATTTATAATTAACAAAACACTAGTGTTTACAGTGTTGGACAAACCACTTGGAAAATGTAGTGAGCCAAGCTACCAGTTAACTCTACATTAAATGAAGCTTTACTACACTGAAGCTACACCCAGGAGAAACGTAGCAAGCTCAGCTACAGCAACATGGCAAAAGTACTTTACTACATCTGAGCTACTTTTGTTTATATTGAACCAACTTCATTCCAGAGTAGCAAAAGAATAAAGACCTGCTCCAAACAGTAAAAACGTGAGAGATCTAAATCAGACAGAAACACCCAAATATTACAACAAAATGTATTTCCTCACAAACTGAGAACCAGTGGAAAAACATTGTTACTTTAATAGATGTGCTGCTTGTCAAAGCATGACATTTTCAACGTATGATTTATTTTGAGATTTTGATAGATACACAAAAAAGTATTGTCAGCCACTGATTGCGCAAGTTCTCCTATTTAGAAAGATGAGGTCTGTTTTGTCATAGGTACACTTCAACTATGAGACACAAAATGAGGAGAGGAAATCACATTGTAGGATTTTTAAAGAATTTATTTGTAAATTATGGTGGAATATAAGTATTTGGTCAGTACTCAAGGTCAACGTTTCCTGTAAGTCTTCAGCAGGTTTGCACACTGTAGCTGGTATTTTGGCCCATTCCTCCCTGCAGATCTCCTCTAGAGCAGTGATGTTTTGGGGCTGTCGCTGGGCAACACGGAGTTTCAACTCCCTCCACAGCTTTTCTATGGGGTTGAGGTCTGGAGACTGGCTAGGCCACTCCAGGACCTTGAAATGCTTTTTAACGGAGCCCGAGCGGCGTGTTTGGGATCATTGTCATGCTGGAAGACCCAGCCACGTTCCATCTTCAACGCTCTCACTGATGGGAGGAGGATTTGGCTTAAAATCTCACGATACATGGCCCCGTTCATTCTTCCTTAACACGGATCAGTTTTCCTGTCCCCTTTGCAGAAAAACAGCCCCAAAGCATGAGGTTTCCTCCCCCATGCTTCACAGTAGGTATGGTGATGCAACTCTGCATTCTTCTTCCTCCAAACACGACGAGTTGAGTTTTTAACCAAAAAGTTCTATTTTGGTTTCATCTGACCACATGATATTCTCCCAGTCCTCTTCTGGATCATCCATATGCTCTCTGGCAAACTTCAGACGGGCTGGACATGTACAGGGGGGGACACGCCTGGCGTCCCTCTCGGCGTAGTGTGTTACTGATGGTAGCCTTTGTTACTTTGGTCCCAGCTCTCTGCAGGTCATTCATCAGGTCCCTCCGTGTAGTTCTGGGATTTTTGCTCACCGTTCTCATGATCATTTTGACCCCACGGGATGAGATCTTGCGTGGAGCCCCAGATCGAGGGAGATTATCAATGGTCTTGTAGGTCTTCCATTTTCTTACAATTGCACCCACAGTTCAAACAGGTGCCATTAATAAAGGTAACGAGTGGAGGACAGAAGAGCTTCTTAAAGAAGAAGTTACAGGTCTGTGGGAGCCAGAAATCTTGCTTGTTTGTGGTGACCAAATACTTATTTTCCACCATAATTTACTAATAAATTCATTAAAAATTCTACCGTGTGATTTCCTGGATTTTTCTTTCTCATTTTGTCTCTCATAGTTGAAGTGTACCTATGATGAAAATTACAGACCCCTCTCATCTTTCTAAGTAGGAGAACTTGCACAATCAGTGGCTGACTAAATACTTTTTGGCCCCACTGTATATATATATTATGGTTAACATTTGACTTTCTGCTTTCATTTATTCATTTAGCTGACGGTTTCATCCAAAGAGACTTACAATTGCTATACATGTCAGAGGTTGACGCCTCTGGAGCAACGAAGGGTTAAGTGTCTTGCTCTACATATCAAAGTTTCCTCCTCACTAGAGGAAGAGGTGGTCAGACTGGACCCTGATCCTTTTCACAAGAGCTTTTTGTTCAGGCGACACAATAGAAAGTAAACTCAGTCTCTCGTGTCTTTATTCCCCTGCAGCAAAGTCACAAGGATTTGATGTACGTGATGTGACCGTCATACGAAAGTGCTTTTGTTGGCTACACATACAGGTCTGTGTATGGCAAATCCATTTTCCAGCATATTGATAAGACTCAAGACATTTACAGAAGAGTTTATCAAGATATTGTTTTTCATGGATTATTTATATTTACAGATAAAATGCCACATGAAATAAGGATGATAAGATATTTTAAAAAACCTGTGTGTAAAATGATGATGCTCTAACTGCTTTAAAGGGCGAGGAATATGACTTGATTTGGACTAGCTAAAGTTGTGCTGTAGAAAACTTTCAAATGATATATGATTCAATACGGAGAGTTCTCGAAAGACCGGTCAAACTTTTAGTTGGAAAGTGCTAACAAAGATGAGATTTACGCAATCTAAAGATCACAAACTTGGTGTAAAATAGACAAAACATAATGTTTAGAAATATAAATTATATATATATATATATATATATATATATATATACACATATCCACTGCTCAAAAAAATAAAGGGAACACTTAAACAACACAATGTAACTCCAAGTCATCACACTCCTGTGAAATCAAACTGTCCACTTAGGAAGCAACACTGATTGACAATCAATTTCACATGCTGTTGTGCAAATGGAAAAACAACAGGTGGAAATTATAGGCAATTAGCAAGACCCCCCCAATAAAGGAGTGGTTCTGCAGGTGGTGACCACAGACCACTTCTCAGTTCCTATGCTTCCTGGCTGATGTTTTGGTCACTTTTGAATGCTGGCGGTGCTTTCACTCTAGTGGTAGCATGAGACGGAGTCTACAAACCACACAAGTGGCTCAGGTAGTGCAGCTCATCCAGGATGGCACATCAATGCGAGCTGTAGCAAGAAGGTTTGCTGTGTCTGTCAGCGTAGCGTCCAGAGCACGGAGGCGCTACCAGGAGACAGGCCAGTACATCAGGAGACGTGGAGGAGGCCGTAGGAGGGCAACAACCCAGCAGCAGGACCGCTACCTCCGCCTTTGTGCAAGGAGGAGCAGGAGGAGCACTGCCAGAGCCCTGCAAAATGACCTCCAGCAGGCCACAAATGTGCATGTGTCTGGTCAAACGATCAGAAACAGACTCCATGAGGGTGGTACGAGGGCCCGACGTCCACAGGTGGGGGTTGTGCTTACAGCCCAACACCGTGCAGGACGTTTGGCATTTGCCAGAGAACAACAAGATTGGCAAATTCGCCACTGGCGCCCTGTGCTCTTCACAGATGAAAGCAGGTTCACACTGAGCACATGTGACAGACGTGACAGAGTCTGGAGACGCCGTGGAGAACGTTCTGCTGCCTGCAACATCCTCCAGCATGACCGCTTTGGCGGTGGGTCAGTAATGGTGTGGGGTGGCATTTCTTTGGGGGGCCGCACAGCCCTCCATGTGCTCGCCAGAGGTAGCCTGACTGCCATTAGGTACCGAGATGAGATCCTCAGACCCCTTGTGAGACCATATGCTGGCGCGGTTGGTTCCTCCTAATGCAACACAATTCTAGACCTCATGTGGCTGGAGTGTGTCAGCAGTTCCTGCAAGAGGAAGGCATTGATGCTATGGACCGGCCCGCCCGTTCCCCAGACCTGAATCCAATGGAGCAAAGATTATTCCATTCAGATCTAAGATGTGTTATTTTAGTTTCTAGTATTTTTTGAGCAGTGTATTAGATAGATAGATAGTTATGTGTGTGTAAAAAAAACTTCCTCTATCCCAGAAGAAACCTAAATTACTATGTAGCCTAGATGACTCAAGTTATTTATGATAATACGGCTGTGTGGTGAACCTATGAACTTAAGTCATATTTAAACAACTATTGCTTTGTGTTATATATAAAAATAGTAGTAAGACTTCTCTCTGTGTACACGCATCCTATAGGCCTACAAGTACAATTTTGGCTGTATTTTTGTGTCCCCCTCAAAAATTGCTCTCGTGAAATTTTATGTTTACTGTCCCCCCCCCTACTGTGAGATGAAACTTACGCCCATGCATAGCGCCCAGAGAACCTGATGTGGAGAGGGCAGAGGAGAGGACCGGCAACTTGAAAAAGTCCCAGTACACCAAATGTTTGCGGGTCGCGGTCTCAGACCTGTTCAGTCAAATCTATACTGCGCACCATAGTGGTTGATGGTGGAGAAGTGGAACCATCCTGTCAGTCATGCGGTGCGCAGCGTAACATTAGTTCATTAGGAAAGTATGTTCATTTAAGTCTGTTTATCTTTTAAATGTGAATAATAACAATATAACAATAAAAATACATTGTGTGATTCAAAATAATGGTTGTTGAAGAATGAATTAGTGACCGCAACAGATGCTGATTTTACTGCTTCCATGGGAGCTCAGACCTCCTTATGGGAGCTGAGCTCCCACTGGCTCCCACGTAACTCCAACCCTGTTTAAAGTGCTCTATAAACTAAATTGATTGATATATTGATGACAGTTCTCCAGCAGAGCGCTTTTTTAAATGCAGCAAAATCATAATTTTGGACTGTGGTGTCTACACGTTGAATCTAAGCTGTAACCTGACCTGCACCTCCCCAAAAATGCAACACCATGTCGCGGCGATGCAGAACTGTACCTTCTGTGAGACTCATACAGAAACGGCATTACATATGTTTTGTCAGGATGTACAGTATGTACATTTATTAATGATTAGATATATTCAGGTTTCTGCTGGTTCTGGCAGAATATCTTTTTTAGTGTAACACTGCGACCATTATTTCTTAATCAATTTATGTTGTTTCTGGCTAAATTTCATAAACACAAATGCAAATTTACAAACAAAAACCCCATTTATAGTCTTTGAGAAAGAAACTTTATTTTTGAACTGTTTCTCCTCCAACAGAAAGGCTTTGAAGATAGGCTACTTAATGTCTGTACTCGCTTAAAGGTCTGTGATATCCTTCAACCAAGTCCAGTTGCCCTTGACTTTAACCTTCTGAGAACCTTCACAGATATCTGTGATATCCTTATTTATTTTCGCTGTATTGTTCTGTTATTGTACCCCCTAGCTATAAATACATCGGTATCCCTAATGTGAAGTATCCAGTGCAATGTTAAGATTGGTGATATATGTTGCTATTTGATATTATTAAAAAGGAAGAAAAAAAGACAGACAGCAAGAACTGTGATTGGTCGGCATGGTAGCCTTCAGGAAGTGCTCCGTTCTTTGAAGTACATTTTATTATTAACAATAATAACAGTAATTTTATTGCATCTCTTGACTCGCACAGACTTCACTCAGTAAAAATCTTGGCACTCCATTATTACGTTACAAGTCACGGACCAGGTAATGCAACAGCAGGCACTAGAGTGCAGATGGTTTCGGTTGTTTCATAGGCTACGTCATTAACAAGCCGGCATGCGGCTCACCTGCTGCCGTGATAACAGATCACGGGTGGAACAATATGAAAAAAGACGAGTTCTGTGTGTTTTAGGCGACTTTATAAAACACACTGCTGATGGAGAAAGTGGAGCAGACAGGTGGAGAGAGACCAGAGATGTTTACGAGAACGTTAGCTGTGTGTGAGTGTGGGGAGAAGAGAATTCAGAGACCGGTGCAAACCAGGTATTTTTAAAAATGATAATGATAATGTTTTTGGGGATTAAATCCTGCTTTCACCAGACATCAGCCATCACCGATGGCATCGTCTATCGGCCCAACCCCAGTGTGTGGATGCTACCACGGTACTTGATCAATAAAGGAGCTTCGAGGTTGAAAAGCCATTTGATCAGAAAAAAGCGAAGCTACCACCACACTACTGAGAAATGTAGTTAGACTTGTAACACTGCAGCTACATTAATCTCAACAAATTTAGTAGTTGTTGAGATGAACCATCAAACACTTCTATCCAGAGCTGGACTGGGACTAAAAAATTGGCCCCGGCATTGTTGGCTCAGGCGGCTCACCTAAATTGGTGAGACACTCCTCACTGATACACCATCCTTCCATATATAACATGTGTACCTACTGTACACAAACAAGCAGAGTGGTATGTGCCATGGATAAGTGCACCAGTGCAAGTGAATCAGTGTACTCATATGTTATAATCATCAACCTTAATTGAAGTAATCATCATCACTGTCACTACAGCATGGCACACATCCTACCCAAGGGCCTCACTTTGTGTTGAACAGTGGTGGGGACATTTAAGGGCTCAGATTAGGGGGGTGACGACACACTTTGCCCATGAGATGTGACATTGCACAAGATTGGGGTCACGAGAACAAGACAAGAATACATTTGAATACTATTTTGAGCATTAAACACTTAATTTCCTGCATTCTGGGGATATTTTCTGCACCAATTTATGGTGGAATGTCTTTATTTATGTAAAGGGAAGCACAAATTCAGTTGGCAAGTGATGATTCAGAATATAAAAATCTGGAGCTTTTTTTTAGCTTAAGTTACTTTTTTTGGACAACGCAGATGTTTCTTCTATGTTTTTATTGCATTGCTGGTTTTCAGAATAGTGCAAATAAACCTTTCTCAAAGCATTTTCATTTGTTAATTAACATTTCTTAACATTAACATTTTTAACAAATGCTTTCAAAAAGTGATGTGGACAACATCTGCCATTTCAAAAAGTGGTGGGGACATGTCCCCAGCGTCCCCAGTGTAAATGACACTATGACCCTCCCTCCCTGCTCCCTCCCTACAGGCTGAGCTACTCCATGCTTACCGCTTCACCTCCACTCTCCTCCTGCTAACATATCGGTTATTTTGCGCATTTGGTGGCATCCATCTTTTTTTGGCCCACAACTCAAGAAACAGAAGGCAGAGGAGGGGGGGGTGTAAGAGATGTGTCAGTATAGAAAATTACCCAATGTGCTGCGGTACATGCTTTATGGGCCGACCGTTGGCCCATTTTTTAAAACAGTTAATAAATAAGTAATTTATGTTACACTGGCCCCAAAGTTTCGTCGGCCCACAAGGCATTTACCTGGTATGCCAGATTACCAGTCCCCCCTGATTCTATCCATAGAGAAATGCTGCAAGCAGGTCTCACATTAGAATGATTTTACATCCAAGTTTCTGATGTTTCTAATGGTTTCCAATCGATAAGACTTCTGGAGAGCCGTGTGTTTCCTATCTCAGGCCTACTCACTGCTCTGAACAGAATGAGGAGGAATAAGAAGTCCTTCATGATGATGGACTCCAGTAGACTGACAGAAAATAACAGAAATTAGAGACACCTGCAGTGTGTGAGCTCTTGCTGTCTGTCCAAACCTGAGAGTGTCCAGTCTCCAGTGTGGCTCCTCCAATCCAGCAGACAGCAGCTTCACCCCTGACTCTCCTGGATGATTGTAGCTCAGGTCCAGCTCTCTCAGATGGGAGGGGTTGGAGCTCAGAGCTGAGGCCAGAGAAGCACAGCCTTCCTCTGTGATCAGACAGCCTGACAGCCTGGAATCAGGAAAACATCATAAACTCTGTGTTTTAGAAAATCACGTCTGCAGGAAACTCCTACAGACCATTTTCACTAACTGAACCTAAAACCAGATGAGGAGGATTTAAAAGCAACAGCTTATTACTGACCTGAGAGTTTCCAGTGTACAGTGTGGACTCTCGAGTCCGGCAGACAGCAGCTTCACTCCTGAATCCTGCAGGTTGTTGTTACTCAGGTCCAGCTCTCTCAGACTAGAGGACTGGGAGCTGAGAAATGAGGACAGAGCTTCACAGCTTCTCTCTGAGAGGTTACAGCCACTCAACCTGAAAAAGGATTAGCAATGAACACAAACTGAATGTTTTATTTGTCAAATATACAGTTTTAGAAATTGCACATCCATTTATCCACCTACAGAGCTTTGTTGGAGGCTTTGACCACTGGCAGCAGCCTCAGAAGAGCCTCCTCTGAAGCAGAGTATTTCTTCAGGTCAAACACATCCAGATCTTTTTCTGATGACAGTAAGATGAAGACCAGAGCTGACCACTGAGCAGGAGAGAGTTTATCTGTGGAGAGACTTCCTGAACTCAGGGACTGTTGGATCTGCTCCACTAGAGAACGATCATTCAGTTCATTCAGACAGTGGAACAGATTGATGCTTCTCTCTGGAGACAGATTCTCACTGATCTTCTTCTTGATGTACTCAACTGTTTTCTGATTGGTCTTTGAGCAACTTCCTGTCTGTGTCAGCAGACCTCGTAGGAGAGTCTGATTAGTCTGCAGTGAAAGACCCAGGAGGAAGCGGAGGAACAAGTCCAGGTGTCCATTTGGACTCTGTAAGGCCTTGTCCACAGCACTCTGGTAGAGATGTGTTAATTCAGGTTTGTTTTTGAAGACTTTAGAACGACAGGAGGTTGATTGTTTTTCTGCCAGCAGATTGACACCAGAGTTGATGAAGGTCAGATGGACATGAAGAGCAGCCAGAAACTCCTGAACGCTCAGATGGACGAAGCAGAACACCTTGTCCTGGTACAGCCCTCTCTCCTCTTTAAAGATCTGTGTGAACACTCCTGAGTACACTGAGGCTGCTCTGATATCAATGCCACACTCTGTCAGGTCGGATTCATAGAAGATCAGGTTTCCTTTCTGCAGCTGCTCAAAAGCCAGTTTTCCCAGAGACTCAATCATCTTCCTGCTCTCTGGACTCCAGTGTGGATCTGTCTCAGCTCCTCCATCATACTTGACGTTCTTCAGTTTGGACTGAACCACCAGGAAGTGGATGTACATCTCAGTCAGGGTCTTGGGCAGCTCTCCTCCCTCTCTGGTCTTCAACACCTCCTCCAGAACTGTAGCAGTGATCCAGCAGAAGACTGGGATGTGGCACATGATGTGGAGGCTTCGTGATGTCTTGATGTGGGAGATGATTCTGCTGGCCTGCTCCTCATCTCTGAACCTCTTCCTGAAGTACTCCTCCTTCTGTGGGTCAGTGAACCCTCTGACCTCTGTCACCATGTCAACACACTCAGGAGGGATCTGATTGGCTGCTGCAGGTCGTGTGGTTATCCAGAGGCGAGCAGAGGGAAGCAGGTTCCCCCTGATGAGGTTTGTCAGCAGCACATCCACTGAGGTGGACTCTGTAACATCAGTCAGGACCTCATTGTTGTGGAAGTCCAGAGGAAGTCGACACTCATCCAGACCGTCAAAGATGAACACAACCTGGAACTCTTCAAAGCTGCAGATTCCTGCTTCTTTGGTTTCAGCAAAGAAGTGATGAACAAGTTCCACCAAGCTGTACTTTTTCTCTTTCAGCACATTCAGCTCTCTGAAAGTGAATGGAAATGTGAACTGTATGTCCTGGTTGGCTTTGTCTTCAGCCCAGTCCAGAGTGAACTTCTGTGTTAAGACTGTTTTCCCAATGCCAGCCACTCCCTTTGTCATCACTGTTCTGATTGGTTCATCTCTTCCAGGTGAGGCTTTAAAGATGTCTTCTTGTCTGATGGTTGTTTCTGGTCTGTCTGGTTTCCTGGATGCTGTTTCAATCTGTCTGACCTCATGTTCATCATTGACCTCTGCAGTCCCTCCCTCTGTGATGTAGAGCTCTGTGTAGATCTGGTTCAGAAGGGTTGGGTTTCCTGCTTTAGCAATCCCCTCAAACACACACTGGAACTTCTTCTTCAGGTTACACTTGAGTTTACGTCGGCACACTGCAGCAACAGTTCCTGAATGAAGAAGAAATGTGATTAATAAGTGGATGCTGCAGTAAATCTGATAAATGTAAACTTTAAGACATCAAGATGGTATTTATTTTCCTCCTCCATGAAATCTCTTCAGCTCATCAGCTGTGAACAGTTTCTGAGTTTCAGCCCAGAAGAATTCATAGATCTGATCCAAATGTGTGCATCATATTAACAGCAGAGTTTGAAATGGAAACTTCTCCCATGTTGCCTCCATTTCCTCTTTCCATCATGTTAAATCTGTTCAAATCCTCTTACTGCTCTGCAGACGCTCAGCCAGCTCCTCCTGCTTCATTCTCCTCAGGAAGTGCAGTGTGATCTTCAGAAATGCCTCTCTGCTGCTCCTCCTCTGCTCCTCCTCCTCACCGTCCAACACCTCCTCCTCCTCCCTCCCTAAGCATGCTGGGTAATCTGGACTCAGAACTCTCTGGAACTTCTTCACCTCGTTCTTCACAAACCTGCCAATGTTTTCCTGGAGCAGCTGGAACAGAAGAAAATGTAAAGTTGAACTGGTAGAAGTCAACATCAGATCATCTGTGACAGACAGAAAGCCTGCTGGTCTGCAGAGTGCAGCATGGAGACTGGATCAGAATGCTGCTTCACTATTTACTTTGTGGCTCCTGTAATTAGCAGTAGTAGCTGAGCTTGTACATTTACACACCATAAATATGGAGTCCAGGTCTGTTTGATGCTGCTGGGCAGACTGACCACTGGGAACCTCTGAGCTCTGCTCATCAACTCTGTGAAGAAATATGATGATTTGAACATATAATGACAAACAGTGTTACATGTGCTGTGTTATATCTGGTAGAAACAGATCCTCATACACCTATACCAGATCTTGGTATAAAAATGTATGATCTGGTCACTTTCCATGGAAACACCGCTGGGTGCAGGGTAGACTGGACAGGAGAAAATGCTGCTGTTTTACTCATCCAGCTGTGTCTCAGTGGACATCAGCGGACGAGGAGGCTGCTGAGGTCCTACTGGACTCTAACTGGACTTACAGTTACAGTAAGCAGCAGACAAAAGGGCATGCTCATACTTTTAATATTTTTACTTTCTCATGTGTTTGCCATTTGTTTTGCACTGTTCTTTGAACCTGGTTCATTTCTGTGCTGCTGATGTGACATGAGAATTTCCCTCTGGGAATAAATAAAGAGTCTATTATTATTTTTAATTAACAAAAAACAGTGCTGAACCAAGACCTACCTGAGAGCTCTTTTTAGGAGAGTCAACAAAACAACACAAACATTTAAGATTCTTACTTTTGTTCAGCATCATTATGTCCAGCTTTGAAGTGAACAGGGACATGACGGTCGCTGTTCACGGACACACAGCTGGGTCCAGGAGAATCTGGTCTCTGCCGATGGATCCTGAACAATGAAATAACAAATCAGATGTGTCCTCAAAGCAGATTTAAAAGATATATTTATGTGTTGGTGTCTCTGGTAGTGAGTTTTCAGCTGAATCTGCAGTTTCTCAGCGATACAGAGTTTTATAGCGACTTTCAGATGTTGTTTATCTGTCCAGCTGCATCTTTACTGTTAGTAGCTCAAAACTAAACTTCATTCACTTCATTAACATGCTGACCTTTGATCAGCAGAGTGGTGTCCACCTTTGAAGACAATAGCTTTGTCCATAGACCGGTCACTCTTCATGGACACACAGCTGGGTTCAGGTCCAGGTCCAGCAGAGTGGTGTCCACCTTTGAAGACAATGGCTTTGTCCATAGACCGGTCACTCTTCATGGACACACAGCTGGGTTCAAGTCCAGGTCCAGCAGAGTGGTGTCCACCTTTGAAGACAATAGCTTTGTCCATAGACCGGTCACTCTTCATGGACACACAGCTGGGTTCAAGTCCAGGTCCAGCAGAGTGGTGTCCACCTTTGAAGACAATGGCTTTGTCCATAGACCAGTCACTCTTGATGGACACACAGCTGGGTTCAGGTCCAGGTCCAGCAGAGTGGGGTCCACCTTTGAAGACAATGGCTTTGTCCATAGACCAGTCACACTTGATGGACACACAGCTGGGTCCAGGTCCAGGTCCAGCAGAGTCTGGTCCCTGCTGCTGCTCTGGGCTTCAACACAACACACACAGAGCTTTGAGAGTGAATAATGATGGTGGAGTGATTTGAGTCCTGGACAGTTAGAGATCCTCATCTCACCTCTGAGCTTTGGTCTGGCTGTCATGTTCCCCACACAGAGTGCTTTTAGAGGGAGGGACTCCCTCCTCTCTGTCCTCACACTGATTCATAGCAGAGCCCACACCTTCACACAAACACAACAACATGCTGAGAGAGCTGCACTCATTCATTACAACAAGCTTTACATCTCAGGACACTTTAGTTCTCCTTCCTCTCAGTAACATGACACAAATATTCAGGGTCGACAGAAACCTTGTTGGAGCCCTAAACAGGATCTGATGACCCCAAAATGTGTTACACAGCCCCCAGATTCACCCAGAGGTTCAGTATGTTGACCACAAAATATATCAGATGTATTAGACTGTCAAGATTCGTTACAGTACACCCAAACATCATGGTTTAAATCCTGATCCTGGTTATCAGACATTACAGATGCTTCTGGTCGGATTCTCACCTGCTGAACTAACAGACACTTCTTCATGTGTGGAGGAAACACTGGGAGAGAAGAAGCTGCTAATTTCTTCCTCGTTAGTCCTGGTGTCTGATGTAGTTCTGCTACCTGTCCACTAGATGGAGCTAACTAACCATCTGATGAACTAAAGATCAGCTCAGCACTGGAAGATGTCATGAAGCAGCAGTGTGGATCAGTTGGTACACTACTAGATTTTGGACGCGTTGGTTTGTAATGAGGCAGAATGCAGCTTGAGATCCCCGGGCGGGGCCCTTCACTCTGTTCCTCAGTCCTGGTTCCTAACAAAGGGGGACCAGAACCTCCAGAACCTCAGGCTGCCACAGATGGTGTCTGCTATTAAAGCTCTTCTTCAAACAGACTTTGGCTTCCAAACACTTTTCTTTAAAGGCCTTTTTACTCGTTTGTCCCTGTAAAGACTTTACAGTTTGTAATTATTGTCACTTCTAATAGTGCTACTACTACAAATACTGCTTCTGTAATACAAGTACAATATCTACTGCTGGGACTGAAAACTGCTGAGAGGTCAGAGGTCAGGGTCGGGCAAGTCCCCACCGACTGTTTTATTTATTATATTTATTATATTTATAATTAGACAATAATAATATGTAATTCAAAGTCCATGGACAAGCTGCTTTTCAGTGCGTTGTATCCACTGCTATAAAAGGAAAAAAAACTACAAGTATAAATAAATAAGTGAATGTAAAAATAAAGAAATAGCCTTTACTACCAAAATGTATTTATATGATTTATTTCTGCATTTATTTATACTAGTGTTATTTTTTGTTCTTCATAATTATAAGGAACAAAAGCCTTGTAGGCTAGTTGTAGGTTTTTAAGATGTGACAGTAAGCCTACTCACCGCTTAGAAATATTTAATGTTTTTTATATTTCACAGCCGTTAAAATAAATGGGTTTCATTTTTTTAAGTGAGGCTGAATATTATAAGCATATAATTTGGTAGGAATATTGAAATTAATTTTAATATGAGTGTGTTTTTTCAGGTTAGTGGCTCTCTTGTATCACACAAGTCATGTAGCGCCTCACCTTTAACGATGTGGGCGCAGGTAATGTGGGGGAGTTTTCAGAAGCCTAAATGTTGACATTCAATGTTTGTACATATTTAATACAATAAAGCGTAAGTAAACAGAAATCTGTGTTCTGTTTTTACTTTTTATATTGTACGAGATTACTGCTCATTCAGGGTTCCCACACGTCCTGGAAAACAACTGACCAATTATCCAGTCATGGAAAACTCGTGGAAATTAAGAGAAAAAGTCAAATATCCTGGAAAATTCTTTTAACATTATGTTGCAGCAGCATTGTGAACACCCCCCTGAGTCAGGTCACAAGTAGCACAGGTTGGCTAGGAGCGACGGGCTCAGATGTGTTATTGTTGAGAAAGTTGGATAAGAATGAAGAGGAAGCCGGGCTCACAACTGAAATGAAGTAGTCCCAGTTTCTGACCGTATTACACTTGCATATCAATACTCCAAGTTCTTTGTGAAGTTTAAATAAAGTGTGGCGTTGTGACAGCAACATGTCTGAAAGAGCTTTTTGTACCGTTACACAGAGACGTTAGAGAGCTAAGGTTCAACAGAATAATGGGATTTGTTAGCAGGTAAAATTATAGCCTGTTATTATATTATTTCTTTATATACTATAAAAAATTATAACAATATAGCTGCAGGCAGAAATGATCAGGCTCCAAGCAGGTCGGGGAAAATGCAACATTTGCCATTTTCAGAGAAGAAGAGCAGATGCAGGGACTTCAGAGAGAAGTGATGAAAGAATTTGGACTTGAAGCCTTTTTTGTAGGGAGGTCCTGATCATGTATTTTTGTCCCGGATCCCAATCGAGTAATTTAATATCTGCTGAGAGATACTTGTAATTTCCTAGTACAGTTGAACAGTGCACTACATTAAATGAAGTTTCTGTCTCCTTTTAAAAGTATTCTCCAGTGTGTGTTGCTTTACTGCAGCCTTTGTATGAGAGAACTCTGAACTCTGCTGGGCCAGGGCTAACCTTTAGCCTCTTAAATATTTTTCCAGTTTGCTGGATCCATTTTAAAAGGTATATGACTAAACTGGTCGCACTGTAGGTGGGTTTTTTTGGTGGCTTATTAAATCTTTAGTATTAACGGCAGCTCTTTTAAAGCGAGTAAACACAATCAGCAAATATTGGGCTTTAATCTGGTTTCCTACAGCGGGATGGACCCAAAATAAACATGTTGCTGTGGTTAAATTGTAATAAACGGATCAAAATGATGCCAAGTACAACGATAGCTGGACTCAAGTAACGTTAACAGACACATGTTTAGTGAACTTACCTGGAAGTTCAGCTTCCTCTCTTTCTTTTCTCCAAGCAGTCTCCTGTTTCTGTGGCTCTCTGCAGCAGACAGGTTGAGAAGTACGAGCAAAGTTAAATCCACTTTTTAACACCCAAGATTAAAATTAAGTTTCAGTTTAACTTGTGACTTTCAGCTGACCTGTGGTTTAAAAGAGGAAGAGAAACTTTATGCCAATCGGTCCCGGCGATTTTCTAGAGTTAGTTAAAAAGGACATAACATACCTTTCTGATTCGTCCTCGGAGTCTTGTGTGAGGAAACGTGTCATGCACCACTTAGTCGCACCTTTTTCATTTCATTTCCCAAATTTGATCCTCGCTCGGCGTCTTATCCCTCCCACCCGAGATGCGAACTGGAGGAGTGGAGGAGGCACAAATTGGGGAAGTGAGAAAAGCCCCAGAAAGAGGGTGAGTTTCCTGTCAATTTAAAAAAATAAATTGTCTGTATTGAAAATGTCAGCACAAGCAACAACATATAATGACATATACACATTTCATTCTCCAGGGTACAAAAAATATACAAATATATACTTTAAGAGATTCATTTAGGCTTTCTGATGAAAAAGTACCAACTTCTGTTCTTGAGTTCCAACATCAGTCACATCCATAAATCATAAGAGCTGAATATAACATTTTGTGGATATGGTAATTGGCAAGAAAGAATAACAGATTTGTTCTGAAATATAGTCCTTTCTTCTCCTCCCTGAAATCAAAAACACCAAAGAAAACATCCTTTAAACACAAAGAAACTCTCAGTATGAGAACAGTTCCAAAATAAATGGGAAACATTTTCCTCTGCATTTTCACAGAGAGAACACTCAGTTTGAATATTCTGTTTATATCTTTAAAGAAAGATTTCGCTGGGTAGAACCACTGAATCACTTTACACAAAACTTCTCTCACTTTCTTAGTGAGCAAATATTTAAAGGGTAATAACCACACTTTATCCCAAGACACACTCTCTATTATACTATTCTAACACGATGTTATGGAAGGAATAGTAACAACACCTTTTTGGAATAAATCTCGTATTAGTTTTGAATTGACCTGTTGCTTGCAGCAGAGTCAAATAAAGTGATAGTGTGATAGTGTGGCCACAGGAAGTTAATGCGTCCAGCAGCATCCTGCCTCCTGAAGGAACGGCATCAAAAACAATCGCATACTCTTTAACTGATATGGGAATTTGATTCGTCATCAAAAAGTCTGAGTAGCTCTACAGCCTGCCATTAGTATCAAACAGCTGACCGACAAGTAAAATATTGTTCTTAAAGAGAATGTCCTTCTTATTGCAAATCTAATATCTGTGTGGAGAGAAGTTGTGCTTAAATAAGAGAGACCAGGACAAAAGCATCTGCTGATGAAAGTTTGATGTTTTTCCTCCCAAAATGAATCATTTAGCTGACGCTTTTATCCAAACAGACTTCCATATATAATATGTCTAATATATTTGGGTAAGACAGGTGTAGCTTGGAGTCGTTATCTGAGCCCTCAAGTGTTCACTGACCTTCCAGCTCTAGTTCTTTCTCTCATGTAACTGTCCTTGTTAGGGAGACAACAGTTAGACTGATCAGCTAGAGACAGCAGCTCAGGCGTCAGGCTGCCAGATATCAGTGTTCTCTGGGAATCTGACAAGGTCGAGTCTCACAAGAACGTTTACAAGAACTCACTGGCTCCACAGATCAGAGTACAACTCAGAGATCGTAATAGATTCTAATATGATGCAGCATGCATCTGGGCCAAACAGTTAATCTCACCTCCAACACTCACTAAAACCACCAAAACACTTCATACATGTCTCAAAATAAACTGGTTGGACCAAACACAGGCAACAACTCTCAGTCAGAAAGCAAACACTGTCACTGATAACACACTGAGCTAAAAACACTGATTACAAGGAGCATTCTACAGAAATGATGAACTTTCATCTTTGAAGTGGAAAAAGGAAGGACTTGTTTCTTTATCATTCCGTACAGTCATTTACTTTGGAAAAAGAAAAAGTTCAAACTAAAGTCTAGTTCCTAAAGTTCAGTGCTGCAGTATCACCTGTAATTCATGTTCCAACCCTCTGAAGCAAATCTGCTCAAATGAAAGCACATTTCCTGCTTTCCACTCAGACTGCAGCTCTTTGTTCCAAACACTGCACACAGTTCTCTACACAGACGCATTGAAGTCAATATTCTGCTGAGCTCTTCTAGAGATTTCAGATTGTTTGGTGCAGAAATGCTGTTTTGATTAATATAAAGAGTTCTGCAGGAGGTGGAGCAGGAAAGAAAAGAGTTCCTGATTTTAGAGAAAGTGCTCATTGAATGTGTGCAGCAATTAGCAATAAAAGTGATTGACAGTTTGATCCACACACACTTCTGTTTCTCTGACTGTGTGAAGAGTTTGGACCGATGCATGTTAGCAAGTGAGAAAAGCTGGAAGACGAGAGCCCAGTGTAACAGGCTTTAAAGATTAGCTAACGCATTAGAAACATATTCCAGTTTGTCACATGAACACATCTCTTCTAGATATCTGATAAATGAACTAGTCAACATTGTGCTCTAGAAAACAAACTTTCAAACCATATCTGATTCAGTTTGCAGAGTTTTAAAAAGACAGCTTGAACTTTTACTTGGAAAGTGCTGCAGCTGACGGACTTTGTGTAAAATGGACAAATAAAAATGTTTAAAAACATCATTCAAGGTTGTTTTGTACATTTTGTGAAAGTCTGGAAATAAAATCTGCAAAATAACTTGAAATCTGAAAACTGACAGATTGAAGCTAAATCATCATTTTAGACTGTGGCGTCTGGCCGAATAGTCAATAAAGTGAAATCTGTTTTTATTAATATGGAATGAAATACTGATTACTGTGAAAAATACTTCAGGAGTTTATTTCTATATATAACACTTCCTGTTGTTGCGTCACTTTGTGCTGCACCAACATCTGCTGGAAATGTCTTTATTTCTATGAAGGGAAACTAAATATAGGTTGCAGGTGAGGATTCAAATCTAAAACTAGAACAGAATATAATGCAGAAATCAGCTGCTTGTTTTTCTTTTAGCTTCACTTACTTTTTTGTTTCTTCTAGATTTAAACTGCACTGCAGCTTTTCTTATTGTGCAAACAAACCTTTCTGAATGCATTTTCATTTGTTAGTTAACATTTCTTTAGCTAGTTTTCACAACATTTTTAATAAATGATGCTTTTAAAAAGTGACGCAGACAAAATCTGTGTTTTGATGCTTTGAGTCAGTTTTGGAGGTGAATTTTTGTACATTCCTGTCAAATATCCTGTTTATTTGTTGGATTATTTTGTGTACTTGTACATTTTGGATCTCTTGACTTTCTCTTTCTTTATATTTCTATACTTATGTTTATGTGTCCTGTTAAGCACCAACACACCGAGGCAAAGTGCTCGTATGTGAAAATGTAGCTGGCAATAAACCTGATTGGGATACTGAGATGAACTGTTTGGCCCAGATGCATGTTGGTGATGCAGACTGTAGGAAGAGCTTTGGAAAAGTGGCTTCAGTTTAGAGCGCTGAAGAAAAAGTCTGTAATAATTCCAGCTTCTCCAGTGTGACGAGTTGCTGCTTTTCTGTTTTGGATCTCAGTAAAGTGAATAAATAGGAGCTCTGTAGACTATATCACTAAAATTATATAATTCTCATTATTGTTTTATAGCCCAGCCCTACTACATACTACCTGCGAGCGCAGTATGTACTACATATAGCATACTGCGTTTCATAGTAGTACGCAGTATGAAGCTGTTAACAGATTTATTTTGCAGTAGCCGGTTCCCGGTGTTGGAAAGAAGAAAAATACAACAGAAAGAAAATAAATGTAAAAACCAGTAACATTTTCTTCTAATTGAATCTTGTGTAAAACAATCTGCAACAAAGGTAACGTAGCGAGCTGCATCTGTACTACTACCAACAACAAATACAAATATGTAGTCAGAATGTGCATTAGTGCTTCTGTCATTGTTTTTACAAATGTCTGTGCTCACATGCTGATGTCTTCTATGTGGCATCTTATTTGTGCTCGTCTGCTTTTGTCTGTGTTTATGTGACTCCTGTTTTTATGTTTTATCCATGTTCCTGGTTCTCTGCTTGGGATTATGTGCTTAAGTTTGTTTGAATGTTTTCTGGATGACATGTTTGATGTTTTTTGTTCTGCCATCAACCTGCCAGGGACTCCAGATTAAATGAATCTGTACGGCTAAATCTGGCTCGCTTACATTTGGGACTTAGTCCTTCTGTTCATCAATGTGCACTGTCCCTTTAAAACAAACAAACAAACAAACAAAGAATTAAAGAGGTCATATTAAGCTTTTTGGCATTTTCGCTCTTTTAAGTGCTTCTTAAATTTATTTTTCTCCTATTGTTTACTTTCTAGAACCAGAACCCGGCTGTGGCGGAGTTAGCTAAAGAGCTAATGTTCATGAGGAACAGAGAGATAAAACAGTGAGAGTTTGTAAAGGTCAGAGGTGAGGCAGTGAGATTCCTCATGACATCAGGATCTTCAGGGTCCTGAGATCTTCATGTTGCTGCTCATTTTAAAGTTGGACAGGCTCTTAAAACCCCTCTGTGGTGGGGGAGGAGCTCAGTGAGATGTAAACCATGCTTTGGAATGGAAATAGTTTTCATGTGTGTCCTCCAGATGAGCTCGTCCTCGTTCCAGTGGTGAGACCGGAGCTGTCAACTGATCACCATCTGGTGGTGAGTTGGGTCATGGGTAGGGCAAGATTCTGGACAGACGCGGTAAGCCCAAACGGGTAGTGCGGATGAACTGGGAATGTCTGGAGGAGGCCCCTGTCCATGAGATCTTCAACTTAAACCTCTGGCGGAGCTTTTCTGGCACCCCTGTGGAGGTTGGGGACATTGAACATGAGTGGGCAATGTTCAAAGCCTCTATTGCTGAAGCCACAGTGGGAAGCGGTGGTCTCAAGGTCTTAGGTGCCTCGAACACCGTGGTGGACACCGGTGGTCAGGGAAGCTTTCCGACTGAAGAAGGAGGCCTTCCGGGATTTGTTGTCTCGGAGGACTATGGAGGCAGTTGCAAGGCACCCGAAGGACTGCAGCCTCTGCTGTGGCAGATGCTAAGCAGCGGGTGTGGGAGAAGTTCGGAGAAGACATGGAGAAGGACTTTCGGTCGGCACCAAGGTGCTTCTGGAGAACTGTCCGCCATCCCAGGAGGGGGAAGTGGGGAACCGTCCAAGCTGTGTACAGTAAGGATGGGACCCTGTTGACCTCAACTGGGGAGGTAGTTGGGCGGTGGAAGGAACACTTTGAGGAACTCCTAAAGCCAACTGACACTGGAGGCTGATGGGGGTATCTCGTCAATTTCCCTGGAGGAAGTCACTGAGGTAGTCAAACAACTCCACAGTGGCAAAGCCCCAGGGATTGATGAGATCCACCCAAAATGCTAAAA